ATGTGTGAGCGACATTTCTGCATTGACATGGGATTGCTTTTGTTTGTTTAGTATGTTGTGGCGTTTGTCCGTGGTAGTTTAGGTGTTTGGCGTCCTACCAGGTTCCTTGTGTACTTATGGATTTTTCCAAAAGCGGTCAATTTTCCTTCATCCTCGCCCGTTATGCTGTGTGTTTAATTCTTATCTCTATGTCGTGCAGGGTTTTGTGTTAGTGTAGACATCACGTTGGGTCTACTCGTTTGGCTTCGCATGTTGTAATATTTCCTGTCCGGCAGAAGTGTGGATCAACCATTGGGCATTTGTCTGAATATGTTGAGCCTTTTCTTCGAACAAATATACATGCAACCGATCGCGATCTCCATGATCTTTGATTGCAGGACACGTGGTGGAAATAGTTACCTGTGTGACCCAAGTAGCTTCTTGTATGGGATCCAAGCTGGAAACCTCCAGCATTGGTTGGAGTGATTCCGGTCCAAACAGGACAAGGGATGTTGATTTGAAGCTCATTTACCCCGAAACTGAGCTTACCCTAACCTACCTGATGGGTGAAATAAAGTCGCTCTAAGATTATCTGGTATTCTGGATGAAGCATTGCGTTAATATTTTTGACCATATGTGCTTGGGGTGTGGGTGCTCATGAACTAGTAGATTGAGGTATCCAAACCTTTTTCTACACATCCAGATGTTAGGGCAATCCTTTTTTTCTCCTCATCTTCGCGAACAGATAAAGTACATCGGTTCTCAGGCCATCATGAGCTGAATTTCATTAATAAGTGCAGCTGAGATGTTGGGGGGCGAATTTCACAGAATATACTATACTATACTATACTATATACTGTACTATACTATACTATACTATACTATACTATACTATACTATACTATACTATACTATACTATACTATACTATACTATACTATACCATACTATAGAGGTGTTCTTTTTACTTTTCGTTTCGCCTGTTTTCTTCCTTAAGTGTTTTTTTATTATCGAGAAACGTTCCTGTAGAGTGGGTTTGTTTACTAATGACAGAAGATATTCCCCTCTCACCTGCTAGCGGCGAGGCCGTGGCGACTGAGTTTGTGTGGTCCTAGAGTGTATCACCAGTTTCTTCCAACCGTCCTGTATTATTGCGCTGTACTTCTGGTACATTTTTAAAGTCCTTTCTCGACTTGTGGATGCTGCCGCGCTGTTAGGCCACCGGTGGGCAGTTTTTTATTTGCTTGTGCTGCTATGCTGTTCAGGCTGTTTTCTGTCGCACGCGTGCGCTTTGCCGAAGGTCCGCACTATAACCTCGTGATTAATGTGTCGTCTTGACGCTAATGTTACACAGCTTCTAGTTGTTTGCCGACTTCTATTCTGATCGCTATCGCTATACTACTTACCAAAGCAACCATCAGACCTGCTTTCATGAGTCTAATAGTGGAGAAAAGTCGTGAATTGAAGTGGCCGCGGGAGAATTGAGCGATGCTTACTTTTCGTGGTATCTTTCAATCATATACGTTACTTTGGGCTAATAAACTACGATACTTTCTGTCTTTTTATATAGACGGTGTCACTGGAAGGTACTCTATTTCAACGTTCTGGTGTCATATCCGGTGGTGCAAGGTACGTTAGCTTGTTGGGTTGAGTTGTAACTCATATACCTCTGGGATATGTAATTCAGTTTTTGAATAGCTGTGCACAATGTTTATGACAGAAGTGTTTGAGTTTTCGTGTTTCTTGCCACACCTCCATCACTGTCAGATGGAAATGAACGATTTTCGGGCAGCAGATGATACGTCCCATCATACCTGGGATTTGAAAGAATATTGTTTTGGTCGACCGGCTTAAGACGCTGGAGGATAAGGAATAGGCGTGACACAGTTGTAGGATCAACCCATATTCCCAGCTTTCTAGGATTGATTTTGATGGCATTTCACGGCTGGTTCGTATCAAAATTCTCATAATTCCGCTTCCTTCCGGCCGTCAACCACATTTGCATTCTCTCCAAATTCGCTTTGCGAGTTTGCTTCATGGGGTCTCAGTCATCGAACAGATCAACAGCCGCCAGTACCAATGAATGCACACAATCTTCTAATATTCACTCACATTACCACTTCGTTCGATTGTATTCTTTGTGTTCGTTCATCAGTAACAGAAAATAATTTGTCGGTTGCTTCCTCCTGTTCGGTTTGGTCTTCGTGGAACTTCACGCTTCTCTAAGTATGCTTGTGATGTTGCTCAGGGAACTCATCACGTGCTCAGCAAAACACCAGAATCTGTCACCCAGCCACCATAAAACGGTGGAAGAAGAAAAGTGGGGCGATGAGGAGAACTTATGAATGGCCCACAACAAACGCCCGAGATGTCTACACCTACAATACTCAATCAGACAGCCTTGACAAAAACTGATTGCTTGAATGCCACTGACATCGGTTAGTCGCCATATCGTTCGGTATCTCCAATCAAACACAAAAGGGGTCACATGGACCCCATCTTTAAAGGTAAACAGCACCAAGGGCACCCTGACGTTTCGGAGGATCTTCAGTTGCCTTTTGCTACCTCATACTCTGCCCATCTCAAGGTTGGCGCCATTCCGAAAACAATACTGTTTTCGGCATGCATAATGTATGATCCAGTATTGGGTGCAATTATTGGGTAAAGTACCGTCTAATTCACCGTATACTTGTTTCCTGATCATATCATTGCAAATCCACTGGTCCCATCAATAGTATTGAAACATCAGTGGTCAGAGATCGGAGAAATCTGGGTACCGGTTTCCGGGCCAGCTTCCAAAAAACACGAAGACAGCGGTAGTGAAATGTCTGATTACTGATCGAATCTTTTGATCAGAGTGGAGTTTTGTAAAGCAGATGGGTCCTGGTGGTTTCTTTATAGACCTCTATATTTCGTGGGAGTCCTTTATTCGCGCCGTAGATGGTGTACGGCGAGACTGGAAGGTTTTTTTAAACCTCTACAATTTGTGGTGAGAAACTCATTTCAAAGCAAAATACCTCTTCAGACATTCTGTGTAGTCTCGGATGATTGAACTGATTATAGTTAACCATGTTAATGTTATGGTTGACGCTCCACGTGATTGACCTACCACCTTGCTGAATCTTTTGCTCATGTTGCCAGGTCTAGATTAGTATCCCTTGGTAACTAGAGCCCTTTGCCTCCGAAGCGTTGGATTTCAAATGTCTGTTATGATTCGCTGTATTTTTACAATCTATAAATCCAAACACGTTTTTCTGTACTGCTGTAATGGAATGCTGTAATAGAAGTTCTCCACTTATCCGGTATTAACTAATGCCCGTCGATCGATAAAAGAAGACTGATCTGGTGATGTATGGAGTAAGGTTACTATCTGTCTGTGTATATCAAGGTGTGCAAAGAGCTGGGCAATGGGCATCTCAGGAAGTTAGAGAAAGCAAACTGCACATGACACATAACGCCCACTCTAAATATGAAAGTTAATCAGTCCTGTTCGGCAAAGGAACGTGTTAGGATTTATAATTAATTAGGTAGCACTGGTAGTGTTGCTATCCTTCTCTGTTGATGGAGGGGAGCATGAAATCATGATTGTTATATTCTAGTCTAACGGTAGGTGAGTTCATGTATGAAGTGGGAAAAGCGAACCGGACATTCTCGAGGACACTGGTGACTGTAAGTCGTGAACATTGATTCGGCTGGATATCTTCCTCAGGTACTGAGTACATGGAGTGTAAATTCACCGTACGCTAGGCCAAAGTTTTTCAGGCATTTGCTGCATGTCATGGGACGGATCACTACCCTAGTCTCTATTGCCACTTGTCCATTTTGTACAGAATGAGTGATAATTCACCTTTTACTTTTCTGCCGAAACATACTCCCTGGAGAACCACAAAAGTTTCTTCAACCATAGTTCGCGTACATGATGTTAGCATTCCGAAGGCAAATGAATAACTTAAAGCGAATTAACACAGTGTGCAAAATACCAGCGAGACAACTAATCTTGATCCATCGTAGTTTTGCTTATTGGTGAGTGAAGCACGGCAGTGAAGCATCGGTGTTGAACACTGATGTCATGCTGTCGATGGTGATGATGATTATTGGTGAGCTGATTGTATCAATTTTCTTGGTGCTTTACCGACTGTCATAATCTTTTAGCCAGCAATCAACTCATAGAACGAACACAAAGTCAGCTGAACTTGAGTTCTCTGAACATGAGGTCTGTGGGTCGCAGTCAATATCAACAGGTTTCATCGTCCTCTTCAAAAAGGGGTGTTCTTTTCATCGGGGAACTACAACAGAACAACATCAACCACTACTATTCTGTCCTATAAGTGAATCTGAGTTCCTCATTTAACGGAGCTTTGACATTTGAATCTCTAGTACTTTGGCTTTGCAAGAGATTGAAGCAACCTGGATACTCAGGAGTAGATGAGTTTTTGTTTGCCAGTCTCATTGGGACCAAGCTGATGAGCCTAAAGTCTTCGATCTCAGTCAAGTTCAGAAAAAATCAGCCGCAGGCCTCCTTGGGGTGCACAACTAACATGCAACCCACTGTGAGCGGAGATGGTGCCAGGTGATCCAGTTCTGTGCGTGCCCAATCTGAGAGTGTTGATTGGGTTTGATCTACTAATCTCAACCAGTAGCTATGGCCTTAGTCGATTAGTAGTTTAGTGCGCAGATGAAAATCAGGAGAACTCATCACACGAATATTTTGGTCATATTTATCGTGCACACAGACTGTCACTGTGGTGCACAACGATTCAAAGCCTTAGATGACTGATTCCGCTTTAAATAACTAACTGTCATTCGTAATCCACTCATGGAATACGGCCGTTATCGTGACCCTTGAGGGATATGCCTCTTTTTTCTTTTGTCTCAAACAGTGACTTAAAGGCACGTGCACGTCGATGGGATGAGAAGCAAATTAGCACCCTTGTCGCTAAACGGGACGCCTTACAAGCGGAACTGAAGGAGCAGCTGAAGCGAAAACGCAAAGAAGCGGAGCTGCGTACAATTCAGTCGCAGATTAAGGGGCTCGATACTCGCCTGAAGTATACACTGAAGGACAAGGATAGCACCGTAAGACTTGCTTCTTATGTAAACTGACTTGGCTGCATAATAATCCCGTAAGGTACAGTATATTCAGTAAATTGTGAATCCTATGACGTTTGACCCTGTTCTGGGCTACGATTTTGAGCAAACAACGAGAATGTAAAGAACAAGCATGCCTTCATGGCTGATAAAGGCAATTTGTATGTGGAGTTGGTGCTCCCATAAGATCCAAATGAAATCACTCTTTTATGACGATGTTCAACCGAATTTGCCTTAACTGTGACTTTGTGGGTGGATTATGCCTACAGAAGAAGCATATACACTAGTGTGTTGTCAGATTCTGTTTGTTAGTCATTTTTTTTGACCCAGGCGAACGGCATTTAATTCCGAGGAACGTCGATCGACTCATGGTTTCCAATGAGGCCGTATTATCACTAAGCGCAGTCATGATTACTGTAACCGTCCATGTGTATTTGACCATCACTGCTCTTGTTATGTGAATCAGGTATATGTATCCGTGTTGTTACTATACTAAATGAATGTCAATATATTTTTACAGGAGGAAAAATTGTTAAGCACGAACGAAGAAGAAATGACTCAAATTGCCCGAGAGCTTGAGGAAGTCGAGGTGAGCGTTTGATTCACTAGTACCAATCGTCCTATTTTCACCATATATGTTCTTCGAAGTAGTGGCATGCGGCTCCACCGTAATTTATTACCACCATAGCTCTGGATGTTGAGCCGTTCGTCTAGATTTATTGTGATGTAGATTATGTTCGTTTATTCCAAACCTAGTGGCCGATAGGCATGTGGTTCTTGTAGTCTATCCTGTTCTTCGTATTGCAACCTGTACTGTCAGTCAAAACTATATACAAGACATCACTGTTAGTTTGCTTGTGGAGATGAACTGGGCATTCGTGTGCGGTTTTGAGTCGTTGCCTGTCTGCTAACTCTACCTGACAACCCACTGGTGGCTAAATGCTACCTTGTTTTACGAGAGGATGTGCATTTTCGCGCTACGGGTTCTGGTGCACACCAGAATAACTGTAATAGGTGCTTCAGTCGATTATTTCTAGCCAACCTACTGTGACCTTTCTCGTCCTATCGCATTCTACGTCATTTGAGCTCCTGTGATTGCGAGATGGCAGACAGGTGTAGTCTGATGCCATGCCCACTCACCAAATGTGCAATAGCTGTATTTTGTACCCTACAAGAAAATATTGGTAATGAGTTCATTTAATTAAGAATCCTGACTCGTTCTACTGCTCAGCTGAACTGGTGGGCTTAATCACACTTACGCCCTTTTGAAGTATTCGGCCCGTTGGATTTACGAGCAGCCTGTGGCAACAACAGACGCGACATGATCGACGGTTGAAAACTGGTACAGTGAGCTATCGGTAGGCGGCAACCGTGGAAATCGGTAAACGAAAGCAGTTGCATTCAGAAATGTCAATATGGGTGGCATGCCAATGGTTGTGATGATTTCGGGACAGCAAAGGTTCGTGAGGGTTTGTGAGGGTTGTCAACATATCCGTCCTAGGCCTTGTTCTACAGACTACTATCTAGTGCAACTAAATTAGTAGCTACATTTTTCTACACCATCTTGTTTTCCCGCTACATTACGAGAAAGGTAGGGTTACGTGAAAAGCCGAGGGAACACAGTGTAATCCGACTTGGATCGACCACATGAATCACGTTTTGGAACTGTATTGGTTAGCATCAAAATCACATTTTGGAAGTATGAGCGGTTTCATAGAGCAAGAAAAGATCGGACAGTTTAGGAAGGGTTTGCATTAGACATGGCCATGCGTGGACTTTCCATCTGCTTAACTGTGTATGCCATCGGTTGGTGGCCTACGTGAGCTTTTCGGTTAATAGCGTTGTAGCGCATTTGGGTGGTTGATTCTTTGCACCTATCTTCTACAGCCATCACCGACGGGATCAGTCGGAAACGATAGCTCCACAGGAATAGTCACCATAGGGCATATTGAATTTGCGAATATGATGTTTCTTCAGTCCTAGGGCAGGAACAGTACGGCTTGTAACGGAACCTTACCACCATCATCAATCCGAAGCACGATAGGTCCGTGATCCGTCAGTCGCTTGCTATCTCAAGCAGCTGTGTACACACAATCAACCCCAAAGTCCCAAAAAAATCCGATGACAAGCCCGATCGAAAACAGAGCAAGCTTCCCACAAGGTATTAGCATTTCGGTCGTTATTGCCGGTTTAAGCATCATAAATGTTCCAGGTGCAATCGTTGTGGCCACAAAAGACTTGTATCGATCTCATATGCCACAGCCACCAACACCAAAGTGCAGCTCACAAATCGCGGTCTAACTCGGTAACGGCGACATTCAAAGTTGATTTTACTTGTTCATCGAAGTTTGTGACTGATAGTAGCAGCAACATTCCTGCTCGTTTGCAGCTTGATACGGGCTTAGACATCACGCTGCTTGGTGAACGGACGTGAAGACGAATTGGTAAGTTGCACGTGAAAGCGACTGAACATTGGGCCCGTAATGCTTCTGGCGGTAAGCTGAAATTGACTGGCGAGGTGGACTGCTGCATAACTTTCAATGGTTGGACTGCACAAGCCACGTGCTACCTGACATCATGCCTCCATATTGGTGTCATGAGGCTGGATTGGACCGATGAGGTTTGATTATATTCACAACGTCACGCACGCAACACCTTGAGGTGCCCTCGAACAAACCCATTTTCCGAAGCGTTCACTAGAAGACCTCATGCAGCATAGATCGTATTGGTGAAGAAGGCTAACGAGATCACCCGGTTATCTGCAGACTTCTTTACCGGTCTCCATTCTGCACTGGAGTATCAGTATCCTGTGCATCTCAGACGACTTGTTCGCGAAACTGATTGGGTGTAAGTGTTTCTCGAAGAATGCCTTGGCAGATGCTTACCCCCCAGGTCGGTTTCGAGGGAGAATCCGTAGAACTTCATCAATACGCACCGAGTACTAAACTGAGAAAACATCGTTATCACAAAGCCGAAAGATTAGATGGCATCGCTGCGTCAGAATTTCCTAATCAATTTGTACATTACGAAAGACATTTCTGCTCGTGAGAAAATGCCCTATCCTAAAGGAATTGTAACAAGAATGAAGCGAAATTACGTGACTCCAAATGTAACTAAAATCAACTGTGAAGTGAATGGAGGACGTGTTGCCACCAGATTCAATGTTAAACCGTAATGTCACCGCGAATTTTTACGGGCCTTTTGGAGATACAAGGGATAAGCTTGTTGCTAAATTAATCCTCTCATCCATGTCCTGCACACCGACTATTGCCTGTGAATCATCCGAGAAAGTTCACAATACCCTAAATTGGGAAGTTCAGGTTTGGTGGTCCTGCTTTGGTTTGCTCCGAGGACCGTAATTTGAAAGTGCGTATCACCTGGCATTTCGGGATTGCTGCGGACCTTCCATGAATCGGTCCCATAACGCTAGTAGTCAGTAATAGTCTTCGAATTCCAACACAGACATCCAGATGTTACCATCGGTTAACTGCCTATTTGCGTACAGTAGGGCACCCTATCAGCAGTGGTTGTTAATCCGCACCGACCACAACGTGGCTGCCTGCAATACATCTCACTTGACTTCAGTGTTCTGCGGTAAAAGTTAATTGTTCGCCTGACCGTGTTTTCATCTGGGTTCTGTCCATCTTTTATTATTCTTACAGGAACGCCTTGCCCGATGTCAAACCAAGATGCAGGAACTGCAAATTTCAGTCAACGCGGAAAAAGCAAAGATGGATACCGTGGAGGATACTGTTTTTCATGACTTTTGCGTGCAAATTGGGGTGGACAATATTAGGTGGGTTTCTTTGATAGTCATTCTGGTGCATTGCGCGTTATAACCAGTGTGTAAATTGTTTAAACGAAAATAACACCTTAATTATTGACAACGTAGAAATCGTGTCACGCACAGCTTCGGGCGTTAGCATTGGATGGAGTATGGTAAGGTGTGATCGGCAACAGTTGAACAACCGGCTCGGAACGATTGACTAAATCAGGCAAGATTCTTTGGCTTGTGTCGACGCTGCAAATTTCAAGTGCAGGCAGATTTGCCAAATTAGGGCATAGAGTTATTGCATTCAGGCCGAATATTCTCCATGGGACCTACACTGATTAATGAAGTTAGTTAGTTTCGTTACAGGACAAGCTGGCATAACCGGTAGGTCGGCTACATCCCTTCGGTGCTCAATGGTGGTTGAACATTTCATTCCGGATCACGTTGTCGTAATCTCTTTTTCCAATAGCCCTTCATGTCGCGCCTCTCATGTGACCTACATGTGGTACTTGAATTGACTCCCTGTACTTCGTGGTCAATTTTTTTCCGACACGCGCCCCCTCTCATTGTGATGTACAACTCACTTTCCGACTTATGTATGATTTGGCATCTGAGTAATAAATGCCGTTCACTGTCCGTAGTACATTTCAGGGTGCACTGTTTCTTTAAATATGTACTTGATATAATTCCAGACTGGAGGTTGAGCTCCTAACCAGTAGCGTGTATTGGTTTCTAAACACACCGCATTTCCCCTGGAATAAGAATTATCTGCTGCGAGATGCCAGTATTCCACAATATTTACCGCTCATATGGAATGATCGTGATCATTGTCCACGACAGTCAAATCATTTTTGGTCGCACCTATGTGGGTGACTACCGTGTTTCATCTCCAAATGTAAGAACACGATCAGCTGCGGGTGTTTCGCTTCTGGTGGAATACCTGATCAGTATCGCGTGGGTCACGAAACTCTCTTCGGTTTTCTGGGTGAAATCGTGTAGCATGTGGATTTCACGTAACTTTCCTTTTACTTAGAGTAGAGAATAATTCCATCCACTTTCCCCTTAATATCTACACTGTGGGTGCTTCTTCATCTGTCAGGACACCGGATAGTTGAGTGTATGAGCTGTGAGATCTTCGTTTCAGTTAACGGAAGGTTCACTTCGTCAATATGTGGAAAAAATTAGACTGAGTCAAACAAACGATGCTTTTCAACACATTATTAACGGGCTCGTTACAGACGAGGTTGTCAGAAAGAACGTACTCTGTGCAGACTACCCACCGCCTTTGGTGAGTTTTTCTTGTTGACTATTTGGTAGTCCAATTGCACAGCTTCGTCTTTCGATCACTGTACTGTACTGTATGTTAGTCCTTAATCACGGAGAAATGCCGTCGACACTGGAGCAACTGTCCCTCTTGTGCAACTTCTGGTGTTTCCTGACAAACGGTGAAGCTGGATGAACTTACATCAATGTAGACAAAGCTGATGAACAGTACAGAGCAGTATGTGAATCATTCCTACTTCGCACTTGAGTCTTCAGTGGAGGTTTACCGACTTTTGTCGAGTGTCACTGTTTTCCACAAAATCGCATGTTGTATGTATGTAATGGGAATGCTCTTGCTTTAGACGAGGGAGAGGGAATTAATCTCGTGTTTTTGTTGTTCTTTGGTTCTAGGCAATATGAGGACCGAGAATTACGCGTTGCTCGTGAACGCGATCGGAAACGCCTGGAGTTCACGAATCAGTTACAACGGATAAACAACCAGCTTGATTATGAACGATCACGGGATACGGAAGGTGTGTTATTCAACACCAGTTTATTATATACAGGCTCTTTTTTCAGTTTATCTGTCCTCATTTCTGAGTAATGCCATTTGGGCGTTTGAGGCTGTTACGCGTATCGGATACTTTTAACTCCTCAAAGTAGACTTATCTAATGACATCTTATCGTAGGTTTGCCAGGTGTTTATTGTTGCCAGCGATCTTGGGAAAATTTTTCAAAAGGCTCATGGTTATTAGTTTCAATATGTATTCTACTATCATTTCTGTTATCCGGGACTTCTCTTTCGTGCCAGTCTTATCCACACAGATCAATTTGGATGAAAGAGCATGTGGTCGTACATGCCGCTTATTTCGAGTGTACGTAATGAAGCCAGTAAATCCTAAGAGAGAGCATGTTTTATTGATCAATAACGGAGGCTGCATATGGGACCTATAGGAGATGCCTGGTGGGTATAACGCACGACTTGAGCTGATTGTGATTCCCGTGATCCGGTTTGCGAACCTTTCCTCCATCAATTTCTGATTCGAAAGTTACTGGTCAAAGTTTTACTATATGGTCAGTCATCACTGTCCATCTGTTGTTTGCCTACTCTAATCCAGGTGCTGTAAAACGTTGGGAGGAAACCGTTGCTGCAGAGAAAATTGAGATGGACAAATGCAAGAAGCAAGAAAAGAAGGTCAAAGAAGAAATGGAACAGGAAGAACGTCGAAAAACCGAGCTTGAGTCTCGGCTAGGTGATCTGAAGCTTCGAGCTGAAGAATTGGATATGGAATTGTCCGAAGTCAAACGGCGCTTGGTCGCTAAACAGCGAGACATACAGAAACAGCAAAAGGAGCTTAATCAGTCTGAGGCTCGCCTTGAATCAAGAAGGGCGGAGAGACATTCGTTGTTACAGTCCGCTAAGGTAAGTTAGGCGATTTCTGATTTTGCCATATTATCTCACAGATGGAGGACCTAGAAATTCCGCTCAAACCAGGAGCCAGCCCAATCGCTGAATTAGAAAGTCAGTTATCTGCAGACCCGGAAAGCTTGGATCCGAGTAGCGAAGAGATGGCTCGAATTTACGAACTCGAGGCCCGTCTTCCAATAGACTTCAAGCGGTTGGAGAAACCGCTAAGACAACTGTCTGATGATAAGGATATCTCGCGCAAGTAAGTTGTTCAAGGTTCCCCCCATTATGTTACAGCGTTGTATTTTCCATCATACTCGCATACATACATGTTGTTTCTTCGGTAGTTGAGTACTCTAAGGAACGAGCTGCGTATAAGTCGCTTCATATGTAATAATCTAGCTGAATATGACAGAATTCTGAATTGTGTCGCTATCAGTGCTAAAACTCCTGATGTTTTATCTGCTTATTGATATGCGCCACAACAAATACGAGATACGAATGCACTTCATTTGTTTTACTAGGGCTGAAGAATTGCAAAATCAAGTCGATTCCATGTTGAACAATCTTTCTCGCATCCAAGCTCCGAATCTGCGAGCTGGTGACAAGCTCGGCAGTGTGGAAGAACGCCTGCGTTCCACTGAGGCAGAGTTCGAGGACACACGGCGAAGGGCAAAGCGCGCCAAAGCCAGATTTGAACGTGTTAGGCGGTTGCGTTACAATGCTTTCATGAATTGCTTCCTCTCCATCACCGACAATATTGATCCCATTTACAAAAGTCTGTCGCGAAATCCGGGTGCTCAGGTTTGTGCATTTTACTGTGGTACCTTACCGTCCCAGTTGTTCACTAACTCCAAGGCCATATGGGTGTTCTCAGTCTCTTTCAGTGCTCCCATGGTCCAAGGCACTTTCGTTTTCACTGATACCCTTTCATCACAAGTTCGTAACCAGTTCTTTAGGAAATGGAGAAACTAAAGCGCTTAGTGATAGCTTACCCTGAATATTCTTATGTTTCATCTCTAGCTCCATCTTGTTCTGAGAGGATACAAGCCAGTTTCATGATGTGTGAAATTTCGTGGACATGTGATTCCAGTAGTCTCTGCAACATAATTTAACTTCTGTTCTGGGGCTGATTTCAACGCCTACATGTCCATATCCGGCCAGAAAGGTAACAGGGTTCCGTGGTTGTCGGTTATATGTATCCAGCGTCGTATTTGCTCTTAGGAGTCCATATTGTCGTTCACTTTGCCCCGATTGTTGGATTGCTGTTTTATCCTTTCGGTTTTCTTCAACATGATCATGCATATTTTCATCAGTTATGGTTTCTCCCGCTTGTTGAAGCATTATGTCGAGTTGGTATCTCTACCATATTCAGGTATATGCCTGGAATCACACGTATGATCCAGCTATCAGGCGTGAACCGAGTGTGGGCAAGATGCCAAATCGTAGTAGGACTATGTCACCAAATGGATTCACTGCCACTTCCCGCGCAGCTTCAAAAACAGCCTATATGTAATTAGTAATCGCTTATCATGTTTTACGGTATCTGGAATCAAATAAAGAGATATAGTCGTGTGAACCATAAGCTTGGAATTTGGCCGAACTGGTATCCTGAGGCTTTCTATAGTCGCTTCCATTCTTTTCCGTCAATCTACACGCTTATATGTGATTTTAGTATTAATATGCTTCCTCTTTCAATCAAGTGCCGGAAACGGTGTCTGTTATTTGTAAATAATTTGGAGTCAAAATAACCTTACTCTCTGAAGATGTACGGCGTAAAATGCGTATATTTACGTTTTTGTGACATTTTCGTCAGCTGACTGAATGCTCATTATGCTCGATTTCCCTATCCCGCTGCCATGGTTCCGCTATCTACTGATCCTAAGCCCATTAACTTTTCAAACACCCTGAGGATTTTCGTGTTTGCACGTTTTGTTTATCTCATATTCGTGCCAATCATCCTGTTTATTTCTGCCTGCTCAGGCTAGTCTACTTCCTACGAATGCAGAGGAACCCTATTTGGAGGAAATCCAGTTCCAATGCGTTGCTCCCGGAAAACGATTTCAACAAATGGACAGTTTGTCTGGTGGAGAGAAAACAATTGCAGCTCTTGCCCTTCTGTTCGCTATGCATCGGTACAATCCTTCCCCGTTCTTTGTCCTGGACGAAATTGACGCAGCCTTAGATAACACGAACATTGGCAAGGTTGGTGCCATCATCTCCATTGTCTTTTCACTCCCCTTAGACGGTAGCAAATGAATATAACTTTAAGTCAGACGATATCTTTTTCCATGGGCATCCTGCTGGCTTATCCGACACTCGCACTCAAGCTTAGGTTTGTACGTCTAATATGGGCATTATCGCCATTGGCAACTGGGCTGTTTTGGAGCCATTGCTTTCACTGAACCTTCTCAGTATTCCCCAAAGATGGTACCGGAATCGTGTCCCAGTAGTCGATTTGGCGTTGCTCTAACCCTTATCCTGAATGTTCAGCCGCTTCCTATCCAGCACCCCCTTCGTTCGAACTTCAGCCATGTTTTTCAACATTAGAGGCACTTGTCTCGCAGTAGATTGTTTCGTTTTGAGGACAGACGACAGTAGGATCTCACACAAACCTCGATCCTCCCATAAAATGAAGCATCTGTGTGTCAGAACTCCAAAACTTGGTTGTGCACAAACAGTATATGGACTAAATTTTTGCGATTTATTGAGGTCGTGACCACTTTCATGAGATCTGCCAGTCACTCGGAAGTGCCCGTCCGCGTTTATAGTTTATGTAGAGATTGAGTAACATAATGACATACGTTTCAATGTCAGCTCAACTAAACCGGTAGACGGGTCACCAGTTGTTCAGTTGTTCTAATGCAATTTGATATGCGGAAGGCTACAATGTTCGTCGGAACATGTGTTTATGCCTCTCTCAGTTGACATGCGCACTGAGTTGAGTGCAAGTTTCTGGTCCGGTTTACTGGGGCCTTTTTACTTCCCGACGCCTATGTGCTCCAGATAGAAAACCTTGAAAATGTGTTGGAACATGCCTACTGTGTGCTTCAGTTAACCGTTCAATTCCAGGTTTTAGCCTTTACCCATACTGTCCAACGGTGCTCTATAGTTTGAGATCATATGCCATGTAAAGCCAGGCTCACTCATCTATGATGCCAAACGAGAAGGACCTATTACTCCAGTTGTTCAATTCGCCACTGAACACTGGGTGCGTTAGCAATATAGCTGCCGGATGGCAAGCGTATGGTTGCATATGCATCGATGAACGAGTGCTCACGGCAAACGACTTGAAGGCGAGAGACCTATGAAAGCTGTCGTTCGGGAGTGGGTGTTTAATTATGTCACTCGACTGGGTTCAGCAGCGGAGAGAGCTAGATAACTGGAAGAGACTTAGAAATTCATAATAACTTCAGTTGGAACGATCGATTGAAGCATAAGACGGACACGTCTGTAATGTGTCCTGGTCCGTTATCTGTAAACACAAGCGGGCCGATGTTGCCAGGCCACAAAAGGTTCTCAGTCGGATCGCCCAACAAAATGAATTACTAGGTTTACATCTTGCTCCGGATGGACGAAGCTGGTCGATATTTACTTAGCAGATGACCGATGGTATCGAGGTTGGCGAACAGATCAACAGGCACTTGGTCGGCAACCAATATTTGGGTATATTTTCACTTGGGTCGTGATTAAAGTCTTGTTTTCTTCCGTCATCTTCACCAACAGGTTGCCAGTTTCATCCGCGAGTATGCAACTCAGCGTGCCCAGATCATTGTCATCTCACTAAAGGAAGAGTTTTATAGCAGAGCGGACAGTCTGATTGGCATCTACCCAGACATTGTAAGTTACGTTAACCTGTCCTAGTTCCCCAGATACTTTTGCGTCTTACGCCTTTCTAACCTTGCCTTTCTTTGTGTTCCAGGAGAACAACTGCCTTGTTAGTCGAGTGCTCAGTTTTGACATTTCCAAATACATCGATACTGGCGAGCAGTAGGAAAATCACACAACAATGTTGTTTCGCACTGCACTTTCCCTAACTTCATCAATTATCATCAATTAAGGTGCTGTATTCAGCTCTGCCGTTATAGAATTTTGTACATTGTTCTTGTTTCCATACGGGTTCTTACTGTATTATTCATTTGTATCAATAAAGACTGCATTTTCATGTAATATTTTTTCGCGTTGTTAATGTGGTCTGGTGTGACACTCCCAATTCATGCCCACGATTACTGCCATTCACAGTTTTCTTATAGAAGTGGTTGAATTTTTGTTCATTGGTGTTCCGTCCGTTCATTTGCTTTTCTTATAGAGGGTACTGAACCACACATGGGATTGAGAAGTCTGATCTTTGCGTATAGGCTAATGTTAAGTAGATATTTGAATAATTGAGTAAAGATATCAGTGCCAACTTAGTTGTGCGCTTGAGATTGGCAGAGCCAACGTGGGTGTGCGGTGGCTTGATTGAGTCAGTACCAGGCGGCCACTGGACCTTGTACTTCGCGCTCTCTATCCACACACGGTTATCTTTCGCAGTGTTAACCGAAACGTTCAATGCTGGTTGGTTCCCTATACTGATAAAATCCAGGTTTCTAGTATTCATTCGAGGATTTGACGCATATTTTGGATGATGCGACACGTGCTATTGTGAGGCGCCGAATCTTATCCGTGTGGCTTTGCCAAGGTTGTTACAGGATCGACCTCGATCCGGTGCAATGTTACCTTTATGTGATCGTCAGGTCACTCTTACCCTGTGTTGTGAATGCGCTGTCAAGAGAGAGCTCTTACTTCCGATAGGATTGTATTTGGTCCTGACCCTACAGTGACCGGTCACCCGCAGCTACAATAGGATGGCTTTGCTGGGTTGCGAAATTCCGAGATAACCTGATCCGTGCGCCGTTGGACTGTTTGCGGACTGTCCCTGGCCACCATAGTTCATATTCATATTCACTTTGATTGTCTGACCTACCAACCGTTCAACAGACCGATTCGGAACGGGCGTTCGATTTATTTTGACGAACCATTACTTGAATGACCAATAAAACTTTGGAACTTCGATTTACATTGTACTTCAGGGGACTTTTAACGGCAGCTCCAATAGAGGCCACCCGTGTTGGGTGGCTCTATTACGAATTGTCTCCTGATCTAAGCCTCATGCTCGACCCATCTACAGGTGGTCTATTAGGAAGGTCGCTAATGATTTGGAACGAGCCTTTTGTCTCTGCGTGATTGCTATTTTATAGTAGGTGCGCTTAGTTCATTTCTAGTAAAGCTGTGAAAATGTATGGGCCAGGAGTTTGCACGCGCACCAATTTCAGGGTCTTACAGCGATAATATTCCGCATGATATTTTAGATTAAACCGAACCATGTACATTCGGTTTCTTATTAAGTAGTTTCTTGAAATTGTGATATACGGTAGGTGAATTCTTTGTCCGTCAACATATGTACCTACCTATTGTCGTACTCCACATCTCGTTGTATAGTTTTGAGTTTTCAGCATAGCAGAGTCGTTTGTTATCTTCATGTTTTACGAGTTCCGACGGACGAAATCAATAAATCATTGTGGACGCTTTAAAGTATCCTCCAGAAACGTTGAGCGTAGGTGCCGCATCTGAGCTATCTTATGCGTTGTGAGGCTGGTCTACGCCACCGAATCTCCCATTAATCATGAGATCTCCGAGTGCAATCGTGAATTTGTGGGCTAATTCCACGCTGCTTCAAGCTGTCGTCTCTGGTTCCCGGCCAACCTCTGAAGATCAGCGAGTAACTAAAACCGCGATGATACTGGTTTGTCGATGAAACCTTCATTGTGGTGATTGGGTGACTGCATTGCATGTGGATTGATTCACTATCCTTGTGAGCACGATTTCTTTCACACTGTAGGACTTACTCAAGGCAAATCCACGGGGCGAACAATTCACAGCCAATGGTACTTAAACTATGGTTATTCAGCTTTAGTCCATCAAAACTCATTGCTTGAGAAATGTAATGACCCGTTTTGGGTATGCGGAAGATCTTTAAACTCTCCCGTACCAATACGTCACGACAGTCATACTTTCATGTAGCCAACAGGCTTCTTACTTGTTCTACGGACGAGCGAACCACGACTGTTGCATACTATATCTGCTAATGTCCGGTCATCTCCAGTATATACGCATGCAGAAGTTGACGAGATGACATTTTTAAGACCAACTGTCAGTTTGGTAAATTGTAATGCGCGTGAATATATTGTTTCCGGTTAATTTGTTTGAATGGTGAAATGCGGTTTGTTGTTCAAGTGGAGTCATTTTGAATCTATTGCCCGGATCATAGAAAAAATATCAGTTTACTTAGTGTTATCTGGTTCAACTCAGCTCAAGCGCAGTCATACATTGATGAGCGCTGATGGTTTTGTCAGCTAAGCAGCAGAACGACTGATGTTGACAGTAGTGGATCCTAAGAGCTCCAAGTGATACATAATTGATAGACATATCCCCTTGTTGTATTGGGTGGTCTCGCTCTATCGCTTCTTCCCTTTTGCAGAAGTCTTACAATGACTTTACTTCTGGTGGATGCAGTTTTTCAATCTCGAATTCTTTAATCCCCGTGTTTACTGATATCAGGTTGCATACCATAAAATCATGTGAGAAAGTAGTTTTGCAGTCGAATTTCAGGATAACGAAGATCCATGTCGTCTGCTGTTGGGTTCTAAAATGGAGCTTACGATTGATTTAGATAGCACTGGTTTGCAGACTTCCAAACAACCTTACGTGTAGTGTGTTCCGTCAATGATTCAAATTAGGTTTTCTCTGCCACTGTATTTCTATGCATCATGACTATGAGTTACACCATTAACAAACAAAGCGTTTGTCAAAATCTGTTGGACTTGGGTTCAGGTGCAACGTGAGTTTAATGGAAACTCGGGTACTGTGCGTACCTGATGAGCTCCAGGAAGGGGAAACCGGTAGTGGGTTGTCGAACAGTTTTCAACAACCTTGTGAGTAATTTCCCTTTGTGACAAATATGTAATCCCCTGCTGATTGAGTGATTCTTTATCCGGGAGTAGTGGATAGCATCTTTGCGTTTTGCAGTGATCGTTCTGGTCAGGTACGTCGCAGCGTCAAATAACGTTAGTTAAAAAATGAGCCGTCAGGCTAACATGGTAATTTCCGCAATTTCACACTGAACGATTTTATATCCACCATTCATTCACCGAACACTATAATTAACACCTCGTCTACTTGCACTATCTACTAAGTCGTACTTCAGCATAGGCGTTCATCTTATTGTATTTTACACTTGAATAACCCTCATCCATGGTTAAGCTGGTTTTTTGGTTGGATCCAGTATACTGTCGTTACCCCGTTCCCTCTGCTCTTTTTAAGTAGCGGTTGTTTGTCCATTATCGCTATAGACACTACTGCCGGGTGATTTCCGCCTACCTCTGCTCTTGTTTGCTCCTTCAACCATCCTGCGCATTTTACACTGGCTTTTGATAAATAGGATAGGAAGGTTTTTAATCCCTGGTTCATCATTTGAAATTCGCTCACTGTACGCCTAAAATCGGATGACCCGCGGACATTTGTTGTCTCTAGCGGGGATGGTCTTCGGTTTGTACCTTACTGGTTCAAAAAGTTAATAACAGTGCTGATCAGACTTATTCCGGGGATCACTGGTTCAAGGTCCTTTCAGGAGAAATTCCAACTGGTTCTAGTAGCCCAGTTGTAAAGGATTGAGTGTGTACGAACAACTTGCTGAAGATAATATTGCGAACGAATAATCATTCTCCGGTAGTTTCATTCACCCCACGATTATGCTCTAGTTTTGGTGACTAATACTCGGGCGCATCTGTGACTTTACTCATAGCAAAAGTGTGCAATTAGCAGTTTAGGATCCACCTGGGTTAATAGCTTCGAGTAAGTACTATTTTCCATCAGATATCCCTTCTGAAAGTGCTATCACTGGATACAAGAAATATGTGGCTTTCGGCGAAACACCCATCTGTATAACATTTGTGTTAACGGGGATCTCAAATGAATATCTCGATTTCGATGCCCTATAACTGAATCTGCCTCACGACCTCATTTCATCTGACAGGATATTCGAGGTATCACGGTATATTTCCTTGATACAACACACTACAGGGTGCTACGAGTCGCTACAATCCGCGTAGACGTGCAGAATTTTGTGTTTGTTAATCCATCTGTAGTCTATAGGCAACTGGAATGCTCATCGTCAGTAGTGTCTAGAGTTTTGTATGCCATAAGTTATCGTCACCAGCTGACGGGACCGCGTACTCGTCGTAGGGTGGTTGTGGCTACCACAATTTCCTTCACCGAGGATTCGTTGAGGTGGGATAGGTTGCTGCGCATTGGAAGTGGTACTGATATAATTGATACGTAAATACAGGATTGTCAGTGAACTCTGTAGCTGAACGCAACTCCCACGCCATATATTTCACGGGTCATTGCTTCTGGATCACCGGACTCACGGAGTGAGAAATGTGAAAGAGCTGAGTTCGTCCTTGGTGTCCCGAGATGTATAACCAAGCTTGGGTCTTGTGTGTGTTTCGGAGATAGCATACATTATTTTTAAGGGAATATAAGGTTTCAGCGCGCATTGCCTGTTTGACATAGAGTACGGTCCCTAAAAGCTCCTATGTGAGAAGGATCTCCTGGATTTAGCAAGGTATCTTGTTATATATCGGTACTAGGCCTCGGGGTACATAAGACCCATCGGTCAGATTACTGACAAGCAAATGATCCAGCAACGTATGCTTGTGTGGTGGGAGTGAGTTGGGGAGGGACATCGGTGGACTCACAACTATGTAAGCAAATCATACTTCCCGGTTGTCTAGGCCGAATATGTGAGTTTGGCTGAGGTATCCCATTTTGAGCCTTTGACTCTGAAGTCTGACCAACAAGACAGCGGGAGGATGTATGGTTTCTTTCGAGGACCCTGTCCATATCTTCTGGCTTAAAAGTCTGACCCGCGAGGCACCTGGCAGTAGGGTTTTTTGGGGAGGCCTTTAATAGTCTGACCTGCTCGGCTTTAGAGGGCTGGCCTAACCCAAGGTTGCCGGGAGGAAAGCACTACTCTCTCACTCCTGATTTGGTCTTTAAAAGTATTCCGATCCTATTGAATAATGTGACGGACGTCACGGTCAGTTGTTGGGTGATCGGAGTGTGCGGTTTTTAGGGCCGACCTCGGGGAAGGCAGTATCGCTGCTTGCATATGTATGGAAATGTTGATCGCCTTTTGGAAACATCCTACCTGCCTACACACTCCCATCGCAGAGGACAGTATGACATTATCCTCAGACCGCCTCGCTGCTGTTAGTCTGACTGGTCCTCTTTGGCCTTCCTGGAATGTTTGCACCTTGTGGAAGGAAGTTCCAGCCAGTGTAGCAGCACTCAAGGCGAACCACCACGTCAACGTGATAGTTTGAGCCATACGATATCATTTATTGCTGCGCTTCACTGTAGTTGTTGGGAACTTTATAGTGTTCTGCGGTGCAACTCCTTCCTGCATGTAACTAGAGAGCACGACTAGCTGACGTGATACTAAATAGGTATGGTCGGAAGGGTCATTTTAGTGCGCGAAATTAGCTTGATTAAGTTTTTCTAAACATTTATCGATTGCGGGTCTCGAGTTTGGTCGGATTTGAAATTTATCTATATTTCAGGCACACTTTTTGTCGCGTATTGAACGCGCTCTCGACTTATGCCGTGAACAACTGCGAACACAGACCACTGATCCTATTAGCTTCGATCGCGTTCTGCTCGGGGTGACGACGTAAGTTCCAGCTGTTGGTTGTAATTATTTGGTGAATCCGATTTTCTGTTCTGTTCCATTCAGACAAAGATTGGCCTGTGATCTTGTGCTGCTTCATTTTTTTCTTATAGATTATGAGGTTACTTTGTCCAACCGGAATTGTTTAAGTTATAAGACGTCCCATGTATCGGCCAAGGTTTCGTCACACTAGAACCGAAAACTACGGTTGGTGTTTGACCCTAGGATATTGTGCGGGCAAAAACAATACTATCGGAACATGCAGGTTCTTAAATGTCTATTAACTCGTTATGTAACGGAAGATTGAACGGACTGGAGAAGTGTGAAAATTGAGGAGAGTTCTTCGGTCTGACTTTCGTAAGAAACAATGAACAGGAATGAAGATCGATCTTACAACGATATATATTCACTTAGAATTCACGATTAATTTTGTGAAAGTAAGTTCGTTGGTGAAGATCACGGGAAATAGGACCAAACTGACAACCTCTGATGAACCCTGACCGTGATAGTAGAAATAGAAAAGACAAAGTCATCACGCTTTAACTGTGTTCAGTAAACTGTAGGTCGACAGTCAGCGGCAGCTAGCCGATGAGGCGGGTCTCGTTCGGACACTCGCTCACACTCGCGAGTAGCACTGAAATGTCGGTTGAATCTAGGCTCTGAAATCTGGGAAACCGATAGAGATAAAGGACCTCTGCGAACGGAAAAGGAAATCAAGAGTTCACAATGGAAGCGGACTGTGAACACAGTTGGTTTGAGTTTGAGTTCGCCGCTTTTGCTAATCCACGATCCCTTACCTTTGGATAACTTGCTGGGTGCTCCTCGTCGCAATACAGAATGACGACTTGGGCGAATTCGTAAATAAGAGAAGAACTGAGGCAAGCGGATCATTAGTATAAAACAACAAAGGGTAGGCTAGAATGTGAACCTCTGAGACCCGTTTGCACTGATATTCAGCGAGTTTGAAGAGGTAGCGTTGTTGGCTATTGCGGCTCATCCTCTGTGTGGAAAGCCACTATTCCAGACAAAGTTATGATCGCATGACAAGGCGACTTCGTCGCAGGGCGATCAACATCACGGCTTCGGTGGTGCCAAACGAATCCAAACTAACAGACCAGAGATTCGCTGGGTTTGCGAGCAGATTGGCGGTCTGTCTCTCTTTTTTTACTTCATGCAACGCTTACTGAGGCGCACCTAATTTCCCAGGCTTATTAATAGTCGTTTGATGACGTCAGGTCCTAATATTTATGACAAAACACGGTTTGAGAAGATAAGACAGCTCTCGGTGTGGTATGTCATATCGCTCTAGAAATGAAGGAACCTGAGTCTTCTCCTGTGGAGGGAAATGAAGAAATAGCGAAGGACCTGGCCAAAAGTACAAGCTGAGGCGCATACTCTTTGAAGATTTGGAGATGTCGTCTGGTGCCGTGCTTTGTACCGACTTTTAGCATACGCATACTCTAAGTAAACACCTACTCTTCCTCGTATACGTAATGGGTGGGTCTATTTTGGAGCTCAACTTGATATAATGGATAAAACCGTTTACTTTGTCATTTTAGTCCGGCATCTCCAATCCGAGCTGCCTTGCTGGTATACGGTGATCTGGTCTATGAAGCTGTAAGTATCTTTTTTGAATTGGCGCTAATGGAGCCACCAACATTGCTGTTAAAGTGATACTTGTAATTTGTTGCGATGTTGTGTGCACGATGCCTCATAGTCCACTGTCCGTTTTGGTGAGGCCGCTTCTTATAGCTTTACGACCACCTCCTTGAGCGTCACCTTCCCTTAAATTTTAAGATGGCGGTGTCTTTCGCGTCGTAGACCACAGAACTGTAGAAACAAAATAACGTTTGCCTTTTTGAGCCGTCCAGGTTTCCTCTCTCCATGCCGTCTTCCACTATTAAGTACTCTTCGCTCTTTAACATTAAGTGGCTATTCTTTTACTACGACTGCCTCATGAGCACGTTCCTACGAATAAAACAGGTAAACAATACTGATAAATGGAGGCCATGATAGACGGTTAGTGTGCCACTAGTATCTAGTTGATCATGTCTATCATACAAGGGTGAAGTAGAGCTTGTAGGCGGTTAATGCACTGGGGCATGCAGTGACAAAAGCTCTTAAGGATACATCAACTACAAGTTCTCAGTTTGCAATCCTAATGACTTCCAAGAAAAAGTTGAATATGGATTCCCTTGCGTCGTTTGATATAGATCGCATCGACAGGTCAGTAAATCACATCTGTTGTTAGGGAAAGGAGATTTTGGAATTTTTGGTGTAGATTTTGTCCTGCAAGAGTAGCCATTCAATGCTGAAAAGCCGAGAAGCACCGTACCGCTGTTTTATCCTTATTGGGAACCATGAGCAGTGCACATTTCTTTATACTCCAGAAAGTTTCGAACTCCCGATCATCTAGCTACAAGTTTGAACTCTTAACAGATCGACCACGAGCGGCTTCAACTACAGGACAAAGTCTACACCAAAACTCACATCTGAAAGCAAAATACCTACGAGTAAGCTTTCTGCTCATCGATTCGATACTTATGGAAGTTGACCTTTTCTTGTAGTATTCCTGCTTTATGACATTTTCCACCCTCCAAAAAACTGATTCGTCTGCAAATCGTTCAATACTGCGTCACATTGATTCTGTATAGTGCTACCTACTTCGATATTTGACTCTCAGGAACTAAAGGCTCCCAGACCGAATGGGACTGCGTATTCCGCAGTAATAAAGGACAATTCGGGGACTCCCTACAAACTACAACAAGTGAGCTCCAAAGTTTTGGATTGTCAGGCAGATTTCCCCTTTGGTCTCGTTGCTGACTGATATTGTTTCCCCCTTTTGTAGGTCCAAGATTGTCACAATTACGTTCTAACGTCACTAAATACACTACGATCTGCAATCGAAACTGGCGAAGTTGATCAGCTGGCCACTGACCGAGATGTATGTTTGCGTTTGACCAACTTATCTATCCCTTTTCACCTTTGTGCTTTGATCAGTTCTCACTTGTAGTTCTCATGATATCATGATATCACTTCTAAGTCAGATTCAGTGGTTAGGTAATTCGGCAATACCAACCTCAGCACTGTGATCTAAAACGTTACAGTCATTTTAGAAAGTAAGCTTGCCAGTGCTTCAGCTTGTTAACTGTATAGTGAATGAGAACCAGTACGTTTGGTCCGACAAAATCACCTAGCCTTTTATTCTATTTCTGTGCTTTTGGGAATATCGCGTGCGACTGAAATCAGAAGTGTCTAATAGATGTGTCGCGTAAGTTACCTGGTCGCTCCTGAATGCTTCAGCTCCGTTTTAACTTAGGGTTATAAAATCCGATACTTTGAATATATAGAACTCATAAGATTCTGGTTTCGAATTAGGTTATCTAGTGGGAAGCCGATCGTGTTCTGGCGTGAGAAATGCTGATGGAAACACCCAAGGCTGAAGTGCGTAATTTGAACAATAAATTCATGGTTTTGTCTGAAGTTATTTACCACGCCATGGTAAGTAAACAATTAGCTAATTGTGGATGAACTCCAGTTCGGGAACAATATGTGAGTGGCATGTATGGAGTGGGCATGCCTCGGAAGTCGGGCGGATCCATTGTTAATAATATTGTTAATGCTCACTAGAGGTCTATTTCTACCGTAATTCACTTCGTGGGTAATAAAACATACATCTGAATCTGGTTCTACATTGTTCCTCTGTATAGTTAGTACATATAATCACACCAATCGATCTTAAAATGGATTTGACATGCAGCCCAACCTGTCTATGCTGTTAACGGTTTTTTGTATAACTTCTACAGCGGCTTATGGTGAAGTACATGTGTGAACTAAAAGGACGCGTCCAGGTGACTCAAACCACCGAATTCGTGCTTACCAGACTGGCGCTCATCTGACTGAGCTAGCGAGGACGCCATCCAACGCAGAACGGTTTTTTTTCACTCCTACTAGATGCATATGAACCATGCGTTTAATCATTTACTTTCTGTCAGATTATATGGGATATTGCAAAATACAGCTTGCAGTTCTTAAACCTCATCCGTTTAACTAGCCAGCCCAAGTTCTGCAACTGTCGGATCTAGGAGCTCGTCCAAGAGAATGTGAAATCTTTTCTGACGGTTTATAATATTCACAATGAAGTATTCTAACATTCAAACTAGTCCTTGCTACAGTGAGGCAGCTACCAAGACTTTTATGGCATCAGCCACGTGACTTTAGTATTTTAGAAGAGGCGTATTGAATCATAGCGTCGGACAAATATCATTTCGCTTTGCATTTAATCGGTGGTTACCAACTAGTATACTCATTACACTGTGGGCTCGCTCGCTGGGGCTAACCTATTGTTGCCTTATTCACAATAGTTTCTCAGAAATTTATTCAACGGAATTCGGGACGCTATTGGTTCTCTCACTCACCCCCCGCGCAAGACCGTTGAGGAACATATGAGCAATCCAAGTCGGGTACATATCATTTCCGCTGAAACTCATTTGTCTTAGAAATGCTTCTATCCACCGATTCCAAAAGATGTGGTATTGAGTTTTTTCCTCCGCGGTTCGATCATAGTATTCGCAGCCTATGCGTTAACCTACAACGGCCACGATAAGCGTTGGGAGATCTCTGGTCGCCTGAGTGTAAGTCGGTTTGTGTTTCGCCAACTTAAGTTCATTCTGTTACCATTCTACTGATTTCTTCTGTAGGAAACATTTCTGTGCGTCCTTGCATATTATTGCTCTTCTAGACATTAAAATCATGAAAACCCCTATTGGACTATATCTAGTGTTTTGTTTTTTGGACCAGAACCGTTTATGTATGCCCACTAATTGCTATTTTCTCGTAGATCCGTCTTTGTAAAATTCAAGACTTCATTTGATCTGGTGTACTTTTTAATCTCCTTAGGTGGAAGCTACGTTACCTCGCCTACAGAAAGTCATGCGCCTGCTCTATATAGCGCTCGATACGGCGTCCCACCTGATGGACCGAGTTGGTATGCCCAGGTGATAAGAAAATTCCATGCGGATGGGACCGCTCACTTTCTGTGATATGCTTGTAATCAGTCGAGTTTTTTTTAATTTCCTCTTCTGTATCCCACTAAATCATTCAAGGTTTATTGGTGCGCCCTTTACAGTCATTTATTAATGTTGTTCCTCTGTTTGTCTCTGCTTCGTCGTTCGTCAACCTATGCATAATTTATTTTGTACGTATCTCCTGAAAAAGTGAAGAAGAAGCAGCGTCGTTTTCTTACAATAATTTTTTATTCTAACTCCCTGGAAAGAAACCGTGGGTTATTCAAGTGCACCTTAATCGGCATTTTGGTAGCAGGTTATTTCTCAGGGTTGCGAATTTCGTTTCCACCTGTGAAAAGCAGAGCACAGCATTTGAGTCAAGGATACGACTGGTGGCAGATAATTAGTCAGTTAGACGGGCTATTCTCCATAGGCATTTTGTCAGTCTTTTTAGCTGAAGACATGGCTGGGACGGATTAACTTAGCGGGCCATCGTTACCTTGTAACTACTAAGCCCGAAGAAAAATATTTATCCCCGGAAAATTGCTGTCATTCTACCGGCTTTCCAAATTACATGGAAACCAGTTTTTCGTTCCATTCACAAGTAGTTTTTTCTCGTCAATTTTTATTTCTCAGTGGCGTGACAACAGAGTAATGAGAATAGATCATGGTTGTTTCAACTGGCAGGTTCGCTATCCACCCGCTATCTTTGAAGCAGACCACTCCTCCCCTAGTAGCTGGTTTGGAGCATCCCTGTGTGCCGGTTAACTGAAACAGGGGTATGTAGTCATCTGCTTGCGTCGCCGAAAGCGAAAGAGTGATACATTAGGTTGATTTGGGTCTGTTATCACACATGTACTGGATGTTTGTGTGCGTCGAAAAAGACAGAGACAATGATGAGGCAAAGTGTGATTGCGAACGCCCGCTGGAGGAAAAATATAATTCGAACATATCGCCGCCGGTGCTGCGTACGTTGTGTTACTAACGCAGTCATCTGTAGTGCTCCGGGTCCGCCATGCTCACACTGATAGTTTTGGTTCATGTGAGACCTCATTTTCTGTTATTCCAATACACCATTTTACCGGTACCTGAGTACTATGAACCGAAAAAATGGCAAAGTACGAAATCAATAACACATGATAGTCATGATAAAATAAAAATACACGAAGTACACTGGCATAAAAAATATCAATTCCACTGTGATGCCTACCTCACACTAATCCCAGTTACAGAATTCGCTTACCGGTGTGTTTTCGTCTCCTATGTACAGCGCTTCATTTTCCGGTGTATAACTGAAGTAAGAATTGAGATAGCATAATTTGCGCGCGATCGTGATATTTGAGATTGAGAATCATTAACTCATTTGTATTTTTTGACCGCGAGGCCCTATTCAGACCGTTGGTGTGTATACGATATGTTCTCTATGTCTATTCAAACGTTAGTTGCCATGTGTGCTTCCGCGGAGATCTCTCCACGGAACATGTTCAGGTTAGGTGCTTTCAATCCCATGAAGGACATAATTCGAGGAAATTTAACTCACTTCAGTAAACGATGCAGTGCTGCACAGTTGGACCTGCTTACAACCGCCAAAATGGTATATTCTCCGATCTCTGTAAGCTGGAAAGCAATAACACCGCATACACTAGACAATTCATAGTTCGAAAGCGGAAAAAATTGATCAAGGATGATGGACCCTAGTTTGAGAACATGGACTGTCTGAACGAGTTAGCTACAGTCAACACAGCGGGGTCGGGTGAGCATCCTGCTCAGTATTGTTAGCATATCCCAGAAACAAGGTGCATCCGAGTTACGTGATTTGCTTATTTCGGCCCGTCATTCTCCTAAATGCTGAGCATTAGATCGGGTGGTATGGTGCATCAAATCGATGGATCAAAACTGGACCTGTTTGCCCCTACGAAATCAAACCTTCCACGGTGGTATCTCGTCAAGGTCATTCAGTCCACGCGAATATTGCCTGTTTAAAACGTTCGAAAGTGAAAACCTCAAATTAGCTGTCATAGAAATACTGGTGCACATAATTCCGCTTGTTTTATACAGGTGCCCGCATGAGGCTCTCGTGAGGTAGACATCATAATCCGACCCAGTAATGTGAACCTGCTAACGAAATTGTGCGATTCATTCATACATTATTGGGACCCTCCACATGGAATCGCACTCCATACGCTATTCCTCTACATAAAAAACGGTTCTAGGCCTCGACAGATTTTCAAGTTGTAAGTGTAGCATTCCTCCACCAAACAAACCATATGTCGGGAGAATTCGTGCGGTTCAGTATTTTCGGAAATACTAATTCTTTTTGCCATCAGAATTTTCCGTTGGCGTACAGCGAAAAGTTTTCTCTCTCCAGAGCAGCACTTAGTAAGCACCGTGACTGACAGTGTCATCTATGGGATTGACCTAATTTTGTATGCTGCGTGAGGTGAACAGAATCAGGTGATACTCATCCATGCCAGACTTGGCCTCGCTAAGGTATATCTCTATTCCGTGGCTAGATGCTGTTCATATCATTTCTTCCAACTAAATTAACAACATGTTTCCTTTGTGAAGCCAAAAATTCAAGGTTGTGCGTCTCATTGGACAATATGAGCGAACAACTGCATGTGCACACGTTATTGCCTTAGCGGACCTCAAGAATAATGAAGTGAAAACTTGAATTTCCACAGGAAGATCATTGAGTTGAGGGAGATCATCTCCGAGGGACTAGGGAAGAGTATCTGCGAAAACTTTAACAATGTCGGATTACCCATATAATTTCGTAGAATATTGGCAACCAACTTCGTCCATAACACTTTACTAGTGCTCCCAGATGGTGCTTATCGAAAGGTATGCCTGCGTGAATTTCCACTGCACTTGTTCAGAAAATTTCCCACGCTGCTGCACGATATTAGTGATGGGATAGATGATAATGGCCAGGTTGACAACCTCAGACAATCTCAGTATACCTCTTGTTGTCCCTGGTTTCGTAGTCCAGCAGCCTTCAGTGTGTTCAGCATCCTCCGTCCCACTGGCCCCATCCGGATTCCAGCCACCAGCATTCTTTAAAAAGCGAATAGAAAGATTATTCGCATAAGGCATTCGTCCACCTGGGATCAGATATATCACTTCAAGCTATGGTTAGCAATTCAGTACAGAACAAAAGCCTAACACATTGATTGGAAGCAAGACCAAACCGCCAGAAACGGTCCTAGGGTCTCATCCATCAAATTATTTGAGAAAGTGCTTTCTCACCTACGGAATGAAAACTGGCATCCTCAGAAGGAACGTTGTAGTCTAGTTATCTTCGTCAATCTACATGTTGAAGTTGAACCGAAATCCCACTTAAATGCTCTCCCTCGTTTGTTTACTCCAATTAATCTTAGATTAGACCTTCAAATGCCGACTTTCATTCCACTTGTCACACAAAAGTGATGGATAGTTGATCAAGTGTTTTAGTGAAAATATGTTTGTTTCATTAAGAAAAATTATATCATCAATGAAATCATTTTAGCGGTTCACCATATTTCTACCAGGATAATCCGATTGCTGCGATCAAACGTTTTGAGTGGGGAAGTCAACTTAGTGGTTTTAAACTACGGATGGTCTGAAGTTGAATTTATCGATTTTCTACACTAGACAGGGTGTACAATTAAGGTGCATTCTGCTATAATTTATTGATCAATTAAATAAAATTTATTTGGTTATGATGTTAAGTGCCTAGAATCCGGAGCGATACACTCAGTAAGGTTTGGCGCTGCGTGCTACTCACTCAAGAAAGACATTATCATCATAATCAACATCATCATCAGAAATGCCTCATATTGGCTAAAGTTGTTTTTGTTTCAGTCGAAGTCACTCGTTAGATTGGCTGCTGACTGAAATGGCACAGTCCGTCGAACACTAACCAAGAAATATGGTAGGAAATACTCAGTATAAAGGGCATCATGTGGTTGGTGATGATTTAACGGTGAGCGGATTTCTGCTAACTTTTTCCAAGTCACTTACTTCTGTATGTGGAGTAGCTCCAAAATCTGGTGCAAACTTTTGTTGCTGTTCAACGTATAACTGGATTCTGGGAATAAATCTGTCCCACAAACATGGTGCCTCAGGGCAATGAGGTTTGCCTGGTGGTGCTTAGAAGACCAAACACCGAGTAGTTCATCGAAAGTCTCCAGTGAACCGGCTTTGAACTTTTGGTCTGACTGGTTAGCCATATCCGTTGAAGCGAGCTGAAATTTAATGACAATTTAGGTGCTTGCCCTCAAGAAATTGCAATTGGGATAAGATGACCATTTGAACTAGAAAATCAAGTGCATCTGAAAAATTGCCCAGGAGTTACGGGGTTTCCATAAGTCAGTGGGTAATCCAAGTTTTTTTTCATTTAACTCCAAAAAGCGCTTGTGCACCAATGCGACATGAATTTGCACGTACTATGTACTACTATATTAAAGTCCAAATGTTGAGCCCTGTGATTCGATTGGCCGAACTTTTAGCGAAATTCCGTCACTGTCGGTCTTTGGCTATTGTTGATTCCTTTCTTCTATTCTTATTGCGTTCCGCGTCATTCCCCATTTGTTGCTCTGATTTTGTGCTACATCGCCTTTCTTACTTATGACCTAAACGTAACCTACGCTGTGCACTTGTCGCCGCGCGTTTTGTCTGAATTAACACGTGGGTTTCGCTATCTTATAGCCACGTTGCCTTGAGTGAATAATGGTAAAGTTTCCTTTAGTCATTAGATATCTGTATTTTATGACTCACGCATACCAAGAAGGAGTTCCTTCCTACAAAAATTGTCTTGAACGTGTAGGTGTCCCTATTTGAGTATGATATGTCTCGCAGCTGAAAGCCCTAGAAGAAATTCGCCTAAATTTTCACCAAGCAGACTCCCTGACCAGTCACTTTGTTAACAGTGTCAGACTGAGTTCCAAATCCACACCGAGAATATGATGGATATGATGTGCGTCGGCTAAAATACTAATGATGATGAAAATACTAAGGCAACGTGAACCTCGTGCAGGTTATTGTACTGTGACAGGCTTCATATGGGCGGTCACGAGGACCTGTTTGATGCAGTATGAATAATATCTAAATGGCTGTCAAATCGAAGACTCAGCTAATGTATTTTTAAAACCCTGAACCTAGCCGATACTTAATGCGACAGACGATATCCATTAATCAACTTGCAACTTACCAATTCGGCCATCCGCGAACAGTACTCTTCAGACTGCTCGTAAGACTGAGGTACGTCTTTTACACATTCACTTAGCTCGGAGCTAAAACAGTCTACGTCACTGTCCGTGTCAGAGTCATCACTGCTGTGCAAATGCACGATACGACGTTGAACAGGATCACCGATTCGATGATGCTTGATGAGTTCTTTTAGATGATAAATTGCGTTTGGCCGCATGACACGACAATGGGTCTTTCCGTCATTTGTGGTAAATAGCTGAGTGAAGACAAAACCTAAAAGTATCGAAAGGCATGTGTATCATGAGGGTGATCACCAAGATGCAGTAGGATGTATTGCTAGGTTGCCCGTAAAACTGATTCATTGTTGCCTGACGACCAAGCAGCTTCATGATTTATGCAGCGTTTTACCAAATGTTTGAACTCGTTGAATTCTGTTCTTCAAAAGTGATTGTTTCAGTACATCGGAAAAAAACTTACAGGGAAAAAGTGAGTGCGAAAACTTCCGGGGCTTACGATGGCACCAAAGAAGTTCTTGAAGTACAAAACGATGTACCCAATGCGAAAACGGTGCCATGAATACATGTGAACAACAGGTGAATTTCCAGCAAGAACTCTTCCTTCAGGATCTTTTTTACTAAAGCAGATATTTTCTGGCTGCATCCTTATTTTTAGTACTTGCTTCTTACTTTGCCTGCTTTTAAGGTGTGCTCAGTAACGTGAGAAGGCTTCCCCAATAGACGGGTAGTGTGTTGGGATGAGGTTCGCGGGTTCAATTTTCGTTATTGGCGGTCATCCCCCAAAAGTTGACATCGGCACTCAGAATTCCTATACCAAACTTACATATAACCCATTCACTGATTAGCTTGTTTTCTCCTCATACAAAGCTTCATCTGATGAAAATTCAAACTCCTCTAAAAAACTGAATTCAGCAAAGGTATATCTGTAAGCCCCCGTGCAACATCTGTTATCCTGAAAAACTCCGGTTGGTCTTCGACAGGGCATTGGAACAAGGGTTTCCTGACAAGTTAATCTGAGATAGACCTCCTTGCTTCTTACCTATAGTGCCGGAGTGACTTTCGTGAAGCAGACACACAAGTCTGCTAACATTCATCCCTCCAGAGTCACGATAACCTTCAATCATCTAGACATCTCAGTCATCCTCATAGTAAAGTCAACCTATATCAAGAAGCACTATACTCCTATTACGGGCAATCCTGTGCAATGCACGTCGCACAAATGTTCAGTAAGATTGGGAGCCAAGATCTCCCGGATACATCAGTGTGACTAACTCGCACAGTGACAGGAACTCCATCATGGAGTTCCCATCCAGTCATTACGCGTTGAATAGCTTCTCAGATGGAAAGTTCATGCATTGTGTATATTCTATTATGAATAGCTCCTCAGCGAACTACCGGAAGGCTTTGATTTCAAACTCTGGAATTTCGTAGAATCCGCACTCCTGATGATTGCCAATGGAGAGATAAACAGTCGCACTATGCTTCTGGGCTTTTCGGCATTGGACGAAGTTCCGAATGGAATCTTACATCTTATATTATCACTAGAAAGTAACCGTTTAATCGATAGGCCATTTGATCGGTCACAACATTACCAAGTCCATAACCTATTGATGAAATAGATTGCGACGGAATTACACGAGTTATACGAATTATACCACGTCTTCTCGCGTCACATTCATTTAAACTTTGGTCATATATACCGAGACGCGACATTCACTCGCACTGATCATTCAATAATCTTAGTATGATTAAGTATAAGCTTCAACTCTAGTGATATGATGATGAGAATGATTGTGATAGTAGTGGTTATACCGATAATTATTATTATAGGGATACTAATAGGAATAAAACAAGCAGCAGTGACAAAGTGCACTTCAGGGTACTACTGACAGCTCTGTCTAGAAGACCTGTTTTGGGACAATCGTTATACGACATTCTGAGGGCTGATCTTCTCACGGAACAAACAAAGGCCCAGGAAATGGCAACAACACTGGCTGGGGTGTAAAGATGTGTACTTGATTCATTTGTATTCCAGTTTCCAAGTTCCTACGGAGGCGGAGAAGCGTGTGCATCTAGGGTAAATGCGAATTCAGGCAGCGAAATTTATAGCCTGACAATAAAAACTCTATGATAAAGATCGCAGTTATGAACACTGTCAGTAAGATGTAGCTTTGACTTAGGCTTCAAAACTAAGCATGTAGAAGGAGGCCCTACTGAGTACTGATGCGTATACAGTCGGCAAGAATTTATCATACGACAATATAAGCTGTCCTTTACTCTGGACAACATAAATTACCTTCATCCATAAATATGCGCATGACTTTGATAAGCTTCTCCAACCAATGTGTTAAGTGGTGGTTTTTTGGCCACAGAAGTGTGAACGTCATCTCCTCAGGTTGCCACTTTTTGTACATCAAATTAAGGACCGAGTTCCATTTTTGTTCGAAAGAAACGCTGTGCAGAATAAAGGCATATGTGTGTAACAAGAGAACGTCAAAACATTAACTGTCATCCTCATCCGAGTGAAAGTTGGATTTAGCAAATTCTTAGAAGTCCCCCATGAGTAAATGGAAGGTTGATCTCACTTTTGAAGAACCAAATATGAAATTATAACTTTTCAAGAAAGTGCATTTTCTCTCCAAGCGAATAGGAATCGTCGGTCAACAAAGTGCAAACGGCTAGGCTAAATAAATTCGTCACGAAAATCTGTTCCCAAAGACAGACCACCTCCCAACTAAGACCACATCACTCCGGTCCCGCAATAGTTAGCTTCAAATTATCACCATTTGGTATTCCAATAAGAACCTCCCAAAGAATAATTGGGGTGCAAAATTGGTGTTTTAGTTTCTTAGCATTTGGACACAAAGTAGACACAGGCACAGCGGATGTAGATGGTCCTAGATACCATATTTTTCTCTCAGAAATATACCCCTGCTACAGCGAAGTTGCTTGAGCCCACTTCTCCGAAGAATATCTAATAGCAACCCTCAAAACGCATGATTTACTGTGCGATCCTCAACAAAAAGGCCCTTCTCAAGAGACTTTCAACTCTTTGTTCGAAAATATCATCAGGTTCACCAAATTCATGGTTTGCTACTGATTGTCCAGAACAGCGAAAGGTTCGGGCTTCACATCAACTCAGATACTATGCTGAGATAATATGCGGTGATGGCGGCACCCGGTTCTATGATTCTGAAATAAAGAATTGGAACTTTAGACATCTTCAAATACCAAGACACACGTCAGAAGTAGTTAGACGGAGAGAGTGGTATGTTTTGAACGGATCAGGATTTCCGTTAGCTGTTGTTTCTCTTGCTGGATTTTGAGCTGAAGATTTATCACGAAACAAGTGCAAGTTGTTGATACCAAAAAAGTGCATATTTGCAAGCAAAATCAAAAAGGCTACTCAACTCGACACACTGTTGAGGCATGCAAGTTAGGAAGCACTATCAGGTCATCCCTAAAGGACGGGCAGACGGAGCTCAAAGCAGGCGAAAATTCAAATGCCAACGCTAGTGTATACTCCACGTAGTCAAGAAGCAGGCACATGTTTAGTTCATTCAAGCGCAAAGTGAAACTTTGTCGATATCTGGTAAAATGTACAAGGTAAAAGCTACGGACACTGTCGCAGTAATGACTGACCATCCAAATTCGATAAGCGTTTACTGAGTGTCATCATCATGATCATCAGCTGTATTGACCGCGTGTTTGTCGTACAGTGGTTGTAGCTTCCAGTTTCGTTCACGGATGATTTAGAAAGCTGGGGCAGGTAGTTCTGTATTGAAGGCAGTAGCTGATAAATTCTTGCGTAAATATAGAGCTGTCAGTGGAGTTTTAAGTGGGGGGTTGGGAAGGAAGCCATACATTGAAGGCAATGGCTTGGATGCACGAGCGCCATTGAAAACGCGACTGGACCACGTCTCTAACTATTGATGTGGCCCGTTTCGGGGTCTACTAATCGTAGAAGCCAATGATGCTTCTACAGCAACCACCACTAATCCAAACGTCCACCTGTCAGCTCCCACCTCCAATGCGCAGCAATGTACCCCACCTTCCCAAATCATCGGTGAACGAAGCTGTGGTAACTACAACCACTGTACGACAAGTACTCTTACACCTGACAACGATGATGATGATGCCGGTAATTTATTCACCCAATGATATCTTCAGTGCAACTAAAGTGACATACCAGCTATTTCAAATGACCCCACATGGAAACCATGGAAGTGACAGATGAATTCAACGAAAAGGTTTGGATGAGAAGTTTCGCTTTCCGAAAATGGCTCCAAAAAGTAAGCAACCAGATACTGCTATGGGTCGGAACATTGCGTTGCTTGTAGCTGATTATCCACGATTATCGGTGAGCAGCGCGAAGCTGATTTTATTCCCTCGAAATACAACGCCTTGCTTGCAACCTGCAGACTTTGCGGTTAAGTTAGCCCGTCGTTTTCGTCTATTACAGCGTGGTATGTAAGGCTCATAGAGGATCCTACATCAGCGTCTACTATTCCATTACAGATAAGGCAATTAAAAATGTTAATAAGTGCACTGTACTTATGTTCTGCATGCAGATATATGAACTGATGCCAGTTGACAGAATATCAGAATCCAGGTTCTCCAGGCATGTTGGGGTGTAGGTGGAATCAAAATAAGTGCCAAGATATCCAGTGCACTGATGTAGTCGACAAACCTTCTCCTAATCTCCTTGAAAACAGTCTTGCTTCACCAATTATTTCCTAAGTTGCATGTTACGTTTTTGAAAATAATGCTGTTTTAATGCGTTAAGAAGTGGTCATGCAGCCAAGGTAGGGATCTTGAAAGTGAAATTCTGGATCCCAAAGTTGTGGGAACCGAGAGTGGTGCGCCTAAGTTGGTATAATTCACAAGGCTATGTAGACGGCTCAGAATAATTACCATCAAGGACCACCGGAACCTAATTCTTGTGCATGGACTATAAACGTCATTTTTGTACGGTAGCATCTTCAGGAATTATGAAGGAGGATCACAGTACTATTGCACATGACCTTAGTATGACAATCCGGTACACGTACGTTCTTCCTAGCTCGCGTAGTTGATGGAAAGTGTTCTCCGCGAGAGAGCGTTGCTCCAAAATAAGCCCAGTTCGGTCGTCCCTATAGAATGAGCTGTCTTTGTAAGGGGCTTGCTATATATATATATATATATATATATATATATATATGCTGACAAAAAAATTTTGCCTTCACTTGCTTCAGACCACTTGTGTTGTGGTCCAGCTCTTTGCTTTTAACCGTGGGGACTACTTCACAGCTTTCGAAGTTGCACTTCTGCTTTGACCCTTTCTTCCAGCAACTTCAAGTGTTCAAAATCGTCATATAATTTGTTTGGCTTATTGGATGTAGTGAATTCGGGTCTTACCAATGCCAATTATTTCATTGATTTTCTCACTTTCCCACCGTTTGTGTTGCAAAGGGAACTGATGGTCAAGACTGGATTGTTCATGTATTATTGACCAGGACACCCACAGTGGTTGAATGAATCCCAGTCGACCGATCTCATAGCACTGGTCAAATCATACACAACGAAATATCTGATTGTTTCAGCCTAGGAAACTATCATGCATGATGAAAAAGGTCAAACAAATATTAGACTGCGCGCGACTGGAGAAATACTGTATAATTTGAAAACAATCAGGCAATTTCACGCACCTTTTGAAAGCCTGTTTCCAATGTACTTCAGCGTTGAGGAATCGACTGGGATATTCCGTATAAAAAGCATTTCGCTCTGGCCCTGTCTTTAACGCATCTTAGGGGCCTAGTTCAAGACTGGTAAAAGACAAACCAACTGACCGTTATTTTGGAAATCCTTTCTTTTTGATTACAACTTGTGACCGCGTAACAGTAAAGGAGTGTTTTACTCACGAATTAGTAGTTTGTTTGATGACGGACGGTGAGCTCCTGCTCCTGCACTAGGCTGCTGTTTAGTTAGCGACCTTGTGTAAAACATATCACCTCAGTTTATAATGTAGGCACAGTCGACTTTGATTATTCAGGCAGTAGATATTATAATGGCCGAGAGGTGGCCGGTCACACACTAGAGAGAGGTGTATTGGTCCGATGGAATTTGATAGTAGAAGGTTGATAAGAGAGTTTGAGCCAAAATGGCACTTGCAATTTTGACAGAGCTATTTAAGCGAATGAACTTTTGAGAGGAACCAAGTGATGGGGAGATTCAATAGGCATGTGCGGAAAATATACCCCTCGTTCGTATTCCCTTACCTTTCATACAGACCAAATATAATTTCAGGTGAAGAAGTTTGGGAATTTACTCAATTAGCTTGGCTAATTATTGGCAGTTGTCACAATCATTAACGGGCGTTTTAAATAAGTAGTTTGCCTGATCAACTAATCTAGAAACATGTATGAATGAATTAAGCGTAGCTCACCTTGCATTTGTAACTTGCTGTGAGAGAAAAAAGGTTGAATTACAATAAACGTGTGAATGGGTACCCTTTTCCAATCAACTTACACTGTTCCGTTGGTATTGTTCACCGGACACTGATCTCCAAAGTCGTCCACCATATGAATTTCATTGGCAAAGAAGAACGTTCTTGTTAGCCTGCACAGACAAACCAAACCTGTGTTATAAACCACTGTTAGTAATTCGACATCAGGTTAGTATTATAATTCACCAGAATGCTTCAGCTATCTGTTGTCGACAAGAGTGGAACAGCGAAGAAGTTTTCGGTAGATTTTCTGGTACCTATAGCTGGAATTTGAAAGAACTCCTAATCCATTCAGTGAGTAGATTACAGAATCAACAATAACATTGTGGATTCTTGTGACCTAGCTCTTAATCTCGAAGGGAATTGTCCTTCTCTTAAGGAGTCACTCTGAGGTGTATCCAAATTGATTCGTTCTGAGATGAAGTATCTTCGGAGTATTTGTTCCGAAATAAAAAACAATCTTTTCTTGACATCACAATCGGATTTTATTTTGGAGGCTCATTGCAACTCGTTACTGTGATCGCCTTTTTAGTCAAAGATATACTGTATTCCGGAAGTGTCTCAATGGAATTCAATCGTACTGAACATATTCTATTTAGCTTTGACCAGCTGTGTTGGCCAGATATCCATATAAATCCTAAACCCCTCCGAAGTTGGTTTGTATTCCAGCACTCATAAGGTACCAATGCACTACAAAACAATCTATTTACTTATCACCTTGCAAGTCTACGTACGGGGCACAACTAGTTCGGAACACAAGCATTCAGGTGCTTCTGGCCGGAAGGTTTTATTTATGTAAGTTCTATTTTGAAAAGATAGTGGGAGAGAGAAGAGAACTGAAGGCTTGCTTACCATAAACAGTAAAATGCGCCTTTTCCCCTGTTGCTACTACAGAAGGCTCTATGAAGATTACCGTGTCGTTTAATGTTGCTTTGTTTACGATGAAACAGAAAGAGCAAACAATATATCGTCTACTAAGCTTCGAAGGCCGGCGGTGTCCAATAGTATTTTTAACAGAAGCATGTGCAGGTAATGGCAGTTATCGTGGGTACGGCAACCTCATCATCTCTCCAGACCAGGAACGATGCCTCAATTCCTGTAGAACTTACTGAGTGACACGCTGAGTATCAGTGAAGAAGATGACCTGATTATTGTGTAGTTTCGAAAGACGCCTCTCGAGCCAACAACCACGGGCTAGAATCAGACCAACGCCGCATTCGTATTTGTGGATGACTGAGGAACTCCAGGATTTCAGTTCTTCCTCATTGAGGGGCAAATATTTTCGCATGAATTGCAGACCTTGTTGCGGAATGTTGTGTACTGGTAGCCATTTACATGCCATCAGTGTCACTTTGGCTAGTGGGGAGGCTTCTGATTGCCTCGCGATACATTTCAGTAGATTGCACCATCTCACGGAAGGTGACAGCGACTGGCTTCGGTAGTTTTCGTTGGATACTGAATTCACTCCGGAGTTCAAGCGAAGGCAAGGTATGAACATGATGAAACTAAGTACCTCACAGTCGGAATGTGGTGGATCTGGATAGCTGACAATAGTCACCGTTTCCTCCGCAAATTTCTGAAAAGAAGGGATCCGAAAAGTAAGTTAAAATTGTTTAATTTGGGGACCCACCGTTGTAGCTACGACATTGCATGAAAATCAACCATAATTAAATATTACGCATTACTATGGCGTCAGAGACTAACGTGGTAAGAAAATTAAGGAAGTAGCGGTGAAAGTTGACGCAAAATGAACGTATACCGAATTCCAATACGTTCACTGCTAGTACCAGGTTGACTCTCGGACCTGTGGAGCTACATGATGAGGGGACAATTGCTTCACCATCCATTAATCGATTTGTGAACCACTAACTTTGCTCAGGAGATTGTAACTTTTAACGTGTTTTATTGCCGTTGAATTCCACGAATGGTTCAAAGATTTATTCAGTTGCAAGCTCATATCCCGTTTTTCCATAGTTGTGTTGTTTTGGGAAAAAAATATTGTCGCTGAACACCTTGGAATAGCTTCTTCGTTATTGATGAGCGGCTGCTCTCCGCGATCTGCATTAATCCGACTGACGCAAATGGGGTAATCGACAGGATTAATTACATATTGTCGGCCTGTGGTGCGCATCTTTTTCGGACATTACCCCGTTTAATGCACACCTTATTGCGCGCGATTCCAAGCGGATATGTTGTTACTGAATGATGCGAGGCGAAATTCGATAAATTCACTTCCAAAAGGGGATTGTATGGCAAAAGTAGCTTCAAACGGCCGAACACATTATTGCATTTAAAACTTCTTTATGCCCACCGCTTTTGTGAGGCTTTCTCTTGTGTGTAATTCGATCACATAAGTTATCACTCCATTGGGCTTTGGTTACAGGGTCTTACAGTAAACGACTTACTTCGTGTGATGACTCAGCCATGAAGTGCCGTTGAAGAGATTTCGTAACTGGAATTACTTGTAGTAAGACTTTTTCCGTATCTGCAAACAAATTTGACGGACAATTTTGACTATCTTGCATTGGAGAAAGCGCGCCAAATTCATGTATTTTACTAGTAAAAATGACCCAAAATATGTTGAACGGCGAAAGTTTGTTTATTTGATTAACGGTCGCCTGTACTCTGAATTTTCTCGGATGTAATCGAGGAGAGATTGCCTACCGGATGTAATTTACCTGGATTTATGGCTGCACCTCTGTACTTAGCCTTGCTCTTATCTGTTTGAAGCGAAAATTTATTGGCACCTTGGTCGTTTTGTCTTTTGTCGTTCCCTTCAGGAGGACTGTAACAAACAAAACTCATCGCACACAACTTGATAAAAAAATTTAAGACTTCCAGGTTCGACTTCTATCCACCTGACAAGACAGACAAAACGGAGACTACTCCGGACTTGTCCCCAAATACCGAACAATTCCCAGTGACTCTAAAACAAACAGCATGTCGTCGAGAAGAATTGATTACAGTCCATGACATGAATATTGCGTCTGAGACGTTTCGCGAATGTAACAGTAAACGCCACATAGTGTTCAAGGTCACCCTACCTGATGACACACTAAAGACTGTTTCTAATGAACAAAAAATAACCATAAAAATCGGGATGATTTTAATGGGATCCTACTTATTACGTTGGCAGTAGGTCAGGCTGCATCAAACCCCAGAAATAAGGACCGACTGCAGCAGAAAGCGAAGTATATGCAAGTTCATGTACGATTTGTACGTAATTTAAGTACTGTTGGTAACCTGCAGTCCTATATTGTTTCCTTCATTGTAGACTTTGATGGAATTAAGGCTTGATTAAGGCTGGAGTGAACAGTCGTCTGTACCTCAAACGAATCTGAGCAGACACGGCAGTAAATTCAACGTGTCATAGTGTTGGTATAATAAGAATGACAAACGTGACATTCTTTTTAGATTTCTTCAGTCTTAGACGTTGAATGTGTATTTATGAGTTCTGATCGTTTTATGCGCAATGGATCAGACAAGTGGAAGCACTCGATAGGAAATAGCGAGTTTAAGATCTGTGTAAGATGACAACCGTATTTAGTCAGTACGTTTGAGTTTCCAAATAGGTCTCATCTTAAAATGGAAGTCAGTCTATCTGGAAAAGCCCAGAAATATTGTATCGCTTTTATTTTCCTGCGAAGAACCATCAGTAGTGCGCATCTAACGAAGATTTTGGGTGATTCAGTTCCGCAACACTCTGTTCCGTACCTGAAAGAATGAAAATTTGGCAACCAATGGCTGATAAAAAGTGCAAATAGCACCGGGATTCCTCGATAACAGTTCATTTCATGCGATCCGGTGTGTCCCCTATAACTTCGGAAGTGGATGATCCCTGAAGCTAGTTGGACATTTTTTTATCAGATTTTTCGCAGCTTGTCGGTATCAGAAAACTCTTGGAGTTTCAAGTGGGCCTTCGCGCTGTAAGCCAGTTAATTCTGAAAACCTGTGTAGCCACTCTACTTACGCAAAAATGAAAGCCAGTCTGCATTATTCCGTTGAATTGTGGATGGCTGGCCAGAACAAGCTGAGTTATTTTCGTTCAGTAGACGTCTTACAGTTGGTATACTAGCCTCCAGGTGGCTGGCTGGGTGTGTGGAGAGTGTTGTTACCTTACACGTACCAAATATTTTGGAACCTGTAGGATTGTCCCATGATGGCAATTGGATGGACAATGTTGGCGATAGGAAGATCAAGGTTCATTAGGGGTCTGCTCGCCTGAACAGTGAGAGCAAAATTTACATGGTTATCATCATTTTTTAATGTCACTCAATTAGGTAATCATGGTAGCAGAAGAAGCATGAGGGCTAGGATACTGTCATGGTGCCCAAGCTCAAACATAAGCAGCCTGGATGCCAAGGTTTAGGTCGAACCATGGATCTTCCGGTCAGAAAAGTCGCGGCATAACCACCAAGCTACTTCGAATTCACATAGTGTGAATACCAGTCCGTCGAACAGAAACGGTAATTTTTGATATGCCTACCAGATTGGTGTTAATACTCTTGAGGATTTGAGGGAAATGCACAAGATGAGTTACTCGTTTTGATGTTTTGCATTTAGTGGGTCAACTGTATAGCCAATTTTGACGTACGTAGTGTTCTGTAGTTAATCCAAATACTGGTATGTCTTTGGTGAAATGACTGTTCCTTACCCAAAAGAAGCATCTTAGTAGCCATCCTAGCTTGTGCTCCGGAATGCCAGTAATATTTATCATGAGTGACTTACCAGGCAGACCGTAGTACCGATTCTACGATCTTTCTAACTTGGTCAACATTAGGTAGTGAGGTGTTGGCGTCAGTACAATCCCAACAGGAGGGACGCATGGCCTCACCGTTACTTCGAAATTTGAGGTCGAAGCACCATTGTTTCTCAATGCTTTTCAAAAATTTGGTCCAAACACACGAAATCACTATTTCTTTTCTAAACCTTCCGAAGTGCTGTAAAATCAACGCTTTCACAAAAATAATGTTCAGAGATAAGAAACGTTGCATAAATAGAAGGGATGGTGAAAAGCGTCCAACCTCCCCCTTATATGCCTTTTATTGTTTATGTGGAGAAAAGGCTTTGTCCGTACTTACCCGAGATCCACTTTTGTAAGTTCTTGTTTATCGCGTTGATCAACGTGAATCTGATCTGCTTCAGGGTAACGTAAAAATGATTCACTGCATTCTCTCTCCTTAAAATTATAACAAAATGGGGGAAGACACGTGGTAAGTTAACACCAAACACCGATTTAGTTTGCTTCACGATGTCAGTTTCGACATGTCTAACTGAATCGGCAAGAACACTGAATTGACAGCATTCAAGTTTTTCCGTTTTCGCCTCGCCGTCGCACTTGAGCTCCAAGCTGACAAGGACATATCCACAGTATTGCAGTAGGCTTTTGAGAATATCTGCGAGAATAGAGGCCGCATCGTACGATAGTATAATCATAATGTCGCCAAGTGATCCATTGGCAATCCAGCAATCGTTTGGGTTTTCCAGGAGCTTGGTAATCTGATGTTTTACTCTAGCCAGTCTGACAGGACTAAGCACAGCCACGTCTGGAAGTCTTGGGCCAAACCATCGAACCTGAAATTGGAAAGTAGTTAACGTTTTCAAAGAGGTGAAATTGTCAAGTAATGGAAAATCTAAGGTACACAAGCTCAAAGATATGATCCGTGCAACTAGGTCCATATTTTTTGCCATAAAGGGCTATTCGGATGAGTGTACTTCCTGATTCGTAATTCTTTGACCTTTTTCAAGGTAGCTGGCTCAGTTGTGTTGTTCATTAAACGCAACTGACATCCTCACAGCAAAAGTGAAGAATATGAATGTCTGCTTTTACTGATGACTAGCTTTAAACAATTTACACTCCACAGCTCTGTATCAAAAGTTTTCACAGAGAACATACGAGCGACATTATCAGTGGGTACCCACCACATTTCTTATTATCCAGTTCGAGGTCCTAAAAGTACACATAATGACTCACAAACAACTGCCTAAGTGTAAAGCTAGCTTCGATTTTATATTTTGGATTCACTATGATGTAACTAAAGAAGGATTTATCCTTCCGAACTATTCAATTGCAACTCTAGATTATGGTGCTCCCGACACCCGGACATGCGATATACTTGAAGCTGGACAGATTCCGCTTCATCCTGGTCCATCTTTGACGTGTTGATGGTCGCTTCTTTAGTAAGGAGTAACTGTGAATAGTTCATTCGCGATTAAGGGCACGTCGAACTCTCTCTTTCGGTCAGCTAGTCCATGACATCACGCGGCATATCGCCTCAAGGTCCACATGCGTACATATATCCGGGTCGGTATGTATTAGTAACCACCACAATATGCGACTGTTACTCACTACAAAACTGGAGTAGAATCTTTGACTACTGTAGCCACGTAGAACCGGTCTTTGTAACTCCCCCTAATGCCCTATGGGTCCATCTGCCTCCTCAAACTACGCTAACTGGTAGTATCCTGCTCGTGTCACTTATCCCTGGTCCTCAAATCATCGAGAGAGAGATGACTATCGTAGGAAGTAAACTACACTCTTCTCCAGCAACGTTCTGTCAAGTTCAACTCTACTTTAGTCGGCTTATTCCAATTCCGTTTTCTTTTGAATGTGGAAATCCGTCAAGTAAAAGAGAAAACGGCTAAAAATTTCTGCATTACAGACGGGAATACCTAAAATCCTCTGTAACAAAAATCATGAATCAGCCACCAACCATTCTTAGTTCCATCAAGCCATTTAAAATTGCAGTCTGGAATTTTCGGTTGGTCAGTAAGCTCACTGTCACTTTTGATGTTTTTTTACAACTCCGAAATGTCCACATGACGTTCAAACTCTATCTACCATAGCAGAAAAAATGACTGAATGATTAGCCAGAAAAGTCGAGGCGGTATTCTCTAGTCAGGGTGGATTCATTGTTGTACTCGGCATGCCTACTGAATTCACTCCGCTCAAATGGAGCCTACTTAACTGTCAACCTTACACCTTGAATATCCAGAGGTCGTGAAATACAAATCCAGTTATGAACCCAATGAAATCCTCCATACAATGCACAGTAAAGTCGCCGAAACACACGTTGGGGTGTGAATGTTTTCATTGGTGAGATGAAGGTAAGGGACCCCGAGACAGGCCACATCAATGGCTAGAGACATTGTCAGATATGGCCCAGTCGCGCCCTCAATGGCGCTTGGGCATTCAAGCTATATCTTCAATGCATAGCTCCTTTTCCAACCCCCCCCCCACTTGACAGCCCACTGACAGTGCTGGATTTATGCACCAATTTATCAGCCCCAGCCTTTAATACGCAGCTACCTACCCCCCCCCCC